TGTCCGGCTGCGCCGAAGGGGAGCCCGGCCGCATGGCCCCCCTCCCCACTCTCCCTCCGGAGTCCAGGGGGCCCCCCACCACCCCCCTCAGCCTGTGGCCAGGGGACTGAGGGGGGCGCGCGGACCCGCCGGCGGCCCCTACTCCGTCTGCAGCGCCCCCTCTTCTGGGCTCCGCCGCGGCTCCTGCCTCAGCCTCTGCTGCCGCCGCCGCGCGCTGTTGCAGCCCCGAGTTCCTTCCCCGCTGCTAACTTTCTGCCGGTAGAGAGGAGACGCGCGGAGGGAGGAGGAGGGGGCCGGGCGCGCGCCCGGCGCCGCTGAGGGAAGGGGGGTGCGCTTCGCGCGCGCCTGCGAAGGGGGGCGCGGGAGAGGAGGAGGCGTGGGCTGGGTCTGGGACACCCGGGAGATCAGAGCTCTTGCCCCGCCACACTTGAGCTGGTCCGCGCCCTGCCCCGTGTGATTCACTTCCCCTGGGAGCCTAGGATCCCGGCTTCCTCATCTCTTCCCAGTACTTTTCGGGACGCAGGGCGCTCTATCAGCCGCTCGTGCTACGCCCTGCGAAGCTTAGGACCAGAGGGTGGCGAGCTCAGGCCTCCCCTCGTCTCCTGAGACGCCGGGGAAGCCCGGCCCATCCCTGATGCGTCCCTCTCTCAGCCTGGCTACGGTCCTGCCTTTGGTCCTGGAATGTTACCTTCTCCACATCAGCTATCCCACCCCAATTTCCATCTTCCCGGTCTCCCCATCTAATCTTGAAGCTCCTGATGGGTGGAGCTTCGACACAAACTCTCCGGCTTCACTGCCCTGGAGCGCTTCCTCTGGCCACCAGGTGTCTGTACTTAATTTTTCTTCTCTTAAGAAATGAGGTTGTCCCTTCCTGGACACCCTTAACCACAGGTGCACACACCTGCGTCCCTGGGGGCACTGCCACTAAAGGAGTTGAGGTTTCCCTGGACTCAGACAGACTGAGGCCATCACAGCCCTAAAGGCGTAAGGAGCAGAGACAAGCTCAGGTTTGGGGTTTCTGTGCAAAGCCTCAATGAATTTTTTTAAAGTATTTTCTTTGCAGAGAGATTCAACCCCTCACCTTTCTCTCTTTCTCTCTCTCTCCCCCTCCCCCCCATTAATCCCTCTCTCCCTCTCTCCCTCTCCCTCTCCCTCTCCTCCCTCTCTGCTCCCCTCCTCTTGGGGTAAATAGTAAACATCAGAAGGATTCTGAAGATTCAAAACTACTCAGCTTCCTCTTGCCTAGTGCTCAGGGAGATGAGAGAGAAGGAACAGGCAGCAAAATCAACTGAGGCACTATAGGGAACGCTACTTCCTGGAGACAGGGCGGCCCTGCACTCAGCTGGTCAGTTCCCCCTTCTAAGCTCTGTGAGCCCTATTTCCCCTGGAGCCTTAGCTGGGTGCCTGCCTGGCAGGTCTCTGCTTTTGCCTCTAGGGCTGATGTGGTTGGCATCTCGGGTTATGTGTGATCACATAATAGAACAGTTGAAAGAAAATGTATATAAAGTCTAAATATTAACTAGATACCTAGTGCCAAAGGGGGGGGGGATGTTAATCAAATAAGATGAAGAATAGGGACTTTTCCCTGAGTGAACAAAAGCTCACTGCTGCTCTCAGCTGGACATGAGTTTCCTTCTCTGCAGCTTTAGTTCAGATAAAGATTATTCCTTTATAATATATTTTTTATGGTACACTGGAGACGTCTGAAATGCAGAGTCTGGTGTCCTGTAAATCATTCCTTGTAACTAGGGATGCTTTTTCAAACACCACACAACTGCATTACTGTAATGCTAATGGGAAGGGGCCAAGCAGGGCTGAGAGAAACTCAAACTGTACCCAACCCTCCCTTCAGTTCCAAGCCCAGCTCTGGGGTGGTCCGGCAGGAGGCCTGGAGCAAAGCAGATATTTTCATTGCTGTGGCCTGCCTCCCTTAAACTCTCAGTCACCAGGACCCCCAACATTTGGCCAAGGTACTCCCTGCAGCCCACACCTAACACCCAGAACATCTCCATCCACTCTCTGCAATCAAAGCCAGTCTGCTCTGCAGCCAGTTTTACTGAAGATGTGCTGTCAAATTCAGAAACGTGTTATAAAACAGTATTCAAATCTCACCCAGAGGTGGCAAACTGAGACTGATTGTGGCCCACACGCTAATATTTTGAAATTTAAACTGGTTGCAGTATTTTAAAAATTGAGAGCTTTCCAATAATAATAATAATCTAGATTTGAAGTTTCTATTGAAAAATTAACAGGTCCAGCAACTTTGGGCCTCTTTTGGCCAGACCTGAGGAGTTTCTGGCCCTTTGGAGGCAGCATGTGTGCCCTGCTTTCATGGTGCCCACTTACACTGCCCATTTGTACGACTTGCTTCGGTCCTGCTAATAAGGGAACTTCCTGATACTCCTTCTCCCCACACGCCACCCGCAGATAAAGAAAAGCACGATTGCCATCAATTCAATTCCAACTCACAGCGACCCCATGAGTGTCGGAGTTGAACTGTGCTCCATAGGGTTTTCAGTGGAGGATTTTTCCAAAGCAGATCATGGGACCTTTCTTCAAAGGTGCCTCTGGGTGGACTCCAACTGCCAGCTTTTCAGTTAGCAGCCAAGTGTGCTAACCTGTTGCACCACCCAGGAACTCCCTACCTCCAAGTACAATGCAACAACCCACTGCCGTTGAGTCAGCCCCGACTCATAGCGACCACTCCTTGGGTTTCCAAAGCGGTATCTCTACAGAAGTAGATTGCCCAGTCTTGCTTCCGAGGACTGGCTGGTGGGTTTGAACCATCAGCCTTCTGGTTAGCAGTCAAGTGCCTTAGGCACTACACCACCAGAGCTCCCAAAAGTAGTCACATATTAGTAAGACAGAGACTGTTGAAAGAAGGGGACTTAGTTAAATACCAGGCCCCACAACTGATGGGGAGGAGGTGATGTTTTTGGAGAAGAATTTAGTTGATTTCTTACTTAAGCAATTGCCTCTTTATTTCTAAGCTTGATCCAGGCTTGTAAGAGCTATGACAGGGTTAACTCAGCAATTCCCAGTAAAATTGAAGACGAAACAGTATGGTTTCCTTTTCTACTGACTACACCCACACTTGGTGAGGCCTATCTGGGTATGCACAGTATTCTTCCAATTGGTCAAGCCTCCACTGTGCATTCTGTTGATCCTGGACAACAATAACAGATCACTATTTTTCAGACAAGCCTCTACTGACGTGCTTCCTGACTCAGAAGAAGAAAAACAAAAACAAAAAAAAAGCCACTGCCATCAGATTGATTCCAACTTGTAGCAACACCTCTGGGTTTCCAAGGCTGTAAATCTTTGCAGAAATAGGTTGCCTCATCTTTCTCCTTTGAGCAGCTAATTGGTTTGAACCGCTGACCTTCTGGTTAACAGCCAAATGCCTTACCCATTATGCCACCAGAGCTCTAAACCTACCTAAATAATAAAGTACACCCACCTTAAGTTGGCACTCCAGGTGCCTTTTCATTTTTCATGTTTGTCACAGTCTTGCCAAACCAAGCAACGCATGTTACCCAAATATAGACATTGTATACTCAATGTATACTCAGTTCTACTTCTCTGTTATCAGATGGTAGAGTTAAAACAAAGCTGTCGTCTGTTAGCTAAGTGGCTTTTGGACAGGTCATTTCACCTCCCTGAGCCTCAGTTTCTCAATCTATAAATTGCAAATGATAAAACTCACCTCAAAATGTTGTTATAAAGAATGGAATTAAATTAGGAGCTCTAGTAGCATAGTGCCTAAGGCACTTGACTGCTAACCAGAAGGCTGGAGGTTCAAACCCACCAGCCAGTCCTCGGAAGCAAGACTGGGCAATCTACTTACGTAGTGATACTGCCTCAGCAACCCAAAGAGGGGTCGCTATGAGTCGGGTCCGACTCAACGGCACATAACAACAACAATAGCATATGCAAAATGCGTGGCTCCATTGTTGATACATAAAGAGAGCTCTGGTGGTGTGGTGCCTAAGGCACTTGACTACTAACCAGAAGGTTGGTGGTTCAATACACCAGCTGCTCCATGGAAGGAAGGTGGAGCAATCTACTTTGGTGAAGATTTCCCGTCTTCGAAATCCAAAACAGGTCATTCTGAGTAGGAATTAACTCCATTTTTCCCCCCTATGGTTGACATATGGTAGTTACCAATAATTATTTGGATCTAAATCTTGACTCATGCCATGCCATCCTTCTTTGCCTATTAAAATATTGCCCTTGAGACATATGTGCGTACCCTTTGTTTAAACCAAGCAAATGTGTAAATTGAAGTTCACTTTCCTAATCTGTTCAATTCATAGCATTTATAATGCCACATCTAATGACTCTCATAGTATTTTTATTTATTTATTTATATTTATTGTGATTTGGGTGAAAATTTACAGAGTAAATTCACTTTCCATACAGCAGTTCACATACACTTTGTCTCATGACATTGACCACAATTCACCACCATGCAACAGCTCCCCTCCCACTTCCTCCTGATAGTTAACCTCTTCCCTGTGTCCATCCCTCCATGCACTCCTGCCCCT